TTTATTTTAATCAGCTCATGGTTAAAAATGTACAATAATTTAGCCTTTCCTCTCTGCTAAATCCTGATCAAGGTATTCTTCCACCATTTGACAGCTCTGACAAGTGCAAATACACTTCTCCTGCAGTTCATTCAAAATTCTACTTCCAAAAAAACACTGCCCAGTTTAACACTTTGGCAATGCCACACAGTAACAGAATCTTCTTAGCAGGTAAATCTTCCCACAAATCAACCGTATCTTATCTATCAGTCATTTAACCCTATCACAAGGCCATACCCACCTATACGTGCCTTCTAGAACTATTCTGATTGCCTATACTGATGACACTTTTGTCTCCAATCCCTCTTCTCCTACACAAGGAAACTGCCCCTACCACCAAGGGTTTATATATTTAACAATTCTCATGTGGAACAAGAGGCATCAGCATACGCATCACACACAGGAGGAACTGAGGTTCAAAGTGACAAGTCACCATCTCCCCTAAGATCTTCCTATACTCTCTGTCAAGCTGAACAAAGCTTTTGAAATTAGGCAAGTGATTTGCACCTACATAAAACATGTTGGTTTCATATTAAATACCTTTTCATGTAGACTTGGTTAGTTGGTTGCAATTTTTCTTCCTGAAAATCTGGTTAACTGTTGCATATACAAACATGCTAACAGGCACCTGACACTCCCTAAGCAGCAGAGAAAGTTATATAGTCACAGAAGTCTGTAACTGTGTTTGTGCAGTCTCCGGTAAGTAAAGAGGAAGAGAGCAGAAAACCTCAGCACAAATCAGTGCATTTACAGGTTTTAAAAAAGCAGCAGTCTACAACTGCACTGGGTAGCTTTAGATTAATGATGAGATTGAGACCCATTCATTGGATTCGTGGAGGATTTCTGCTTTCAGTTTTCCTTCAGAAGTCTGTAAATCATCAACCCTTTTTACACAGCTGATCACAGGGCTGAACTCCCCAATCCACAGAAATACTTATTTTACTGAAAAGTGCACTAGAAGAACAGGCTAGCAGAGAACCCCGTGAAGTCCACTCCCACTGGAGTGTCTCTTTTCAAAAGTTTCACTTTTGACTTAAAGAAATATAGCACATGAATTTGCAGGATTGGGGGTTCCATATACAACTTACAGACAAAAGATATACTGCCTAATACAGCAAGGTAGACACAGAATAGGCTACAAAGCTCTGCAGTTTCATTATCAAGGTTTAAACACTAAGATGCTGAGTTCTTCAATGGTTCTCAAACACAAGTGTACCTCTTACTACATACATCATGCTTTTGCTTTGCTGGTCAAAGCTTTCCACCCTGCCAGTCCACAGGGCACAACACAAGAGGCAATGGAGAGATGGATAAGAAGCCTCAGTGGCAGTGAAAGAAACAGCATATATCAAAACATTTTCTTGGATCAGTGTAGCATAAAGGGGCTTGAAATCAGACAACTTCAGGAAGCAGAGGGGAAATTATACGGTCTTAAGCATAGCTATGCAACTACATCTCTGCAGCCTCTGATAAGTGGATGAGGGAGAGTGGGAGAAAAATGAGTGGCAAATTTTAGCATGCCTTGACTTAGTTCCAGCTTAAAAGAAACCTTGTTCAGGATTTGTTTGGTTTTGATTGAAAAGAAAGCCTTCTGCATAATTTATTCAGCCTTTCTTTAGGGACTATGATCAGGGAGAGGATTTAAATTTTTATTAATAAGAGTGTTTCAAAGGAAGACATCAATCCTTTCAAAGGAAAGGATTCATCCTGCTTGTGCTAAGTTTTTCTACAAAAGTAAAGCCTATGAAGAACAGTCCCATCCCTACCCTTAATGACCCTACACATTCATCACCAGAATGCAGAAGCAGTAGAGCTTTCTCACTGGGGAGCAGTAGGCCTGTGGTAGGCAACTGAGAAAATGTCAGCAGTTAAAAGCTACTGGAACAGAAGATCCTCTTTCTGGTTAAGTACTACTCATCTTCAGAAACTCTACTCTCAAGAAAGCTGCAGCAGATTATGAGAGGAACAGTTTAAACTACATGAATGATTATCTTCCTCCTTCATTTGTTGTTTTCATGTGTCCATGCTGCAGTCCACCAACTGTCCTGTCCTTTGTCTACCTCAAGCAAACATTTCACATTCAGTCAGCTTTCTTCAATCTGTCTTTTCTACCAGTATCTGCAAAGACACTATGCCTTCCATGTGTGGCCGGAGGAAGACGTTTTACACCGATAAAGCTATCTGCTTAAAAGCCTAACAGAGAACATGTCACCATAAATTGTAAAACAATGTAGTTAATCAAAGTATCAATCTGTTCTCATCAAGCATTTAATCCAACCTGCTAACACAAAAGTAAGAATGTCTTGTGACTTCTCCCCACAGAGACTGCCTAACAAAATCTATCTCATGAGAGAAACTAAATGCAGTATATTTTACAGTGAGACAAAAATCTTACTGTCCCATTTACAGTCATCTTCACTTACAGTCTGCTGCAGTTAAAACCCACAACTGATTTTTATTAAAATCTCCAGGAAGCTACACTACTCATATGTTTATTTTATATCCACATTAACTCAGGCAACTAATTGGGGTACCACTGGCCTCTTTGTATGATCTATGTAATCTTATGGCTGTTATAACCCCCTACATGTTAGGTGATTCAGGTTACAGCATTAAATAAATACATGGTTCTCCAGACACATGAATGGGCAATTCTTCCACAGCAAGACAGCCAAGAGGACCATCTGACAGCACAGCTCAACAGTGATGTAACAGCATAAATGAGCAAGCAATGGGATCAACAACTCATCAAAAGGCGTTATTACCAAAGCTCAGTAATTGCTCAACAAAACAGTAATTAAACAAAGCAGGATACTTGACAGAGACCTTGACCTCCTCAAGGAGGGCTCTATTTACTTGATACACTACAGGATGTGTTCACCTACCACATGCATTTGCACATAAGCAATCTCACTGGAACTCAAGAGCATACCAGTCACTGAAGTTACTTTTGCAAAGTCCCAGGAGGAACGAACTACATGTTCATATCCCTAGGTCATAAATCTGAAGCCAGGGAGGGAAAAAATAAGGTTGCAATTCTACTGGTATGACTTGTTCCTTTTAGAGAGAAATAAGAATGTAATAAGCCTGTTTTTCAGATATATTTGATCCTCTCCCATTTGGCCTAATACAGAAAAGCAACATTTGGTGATAATCAGTGGTTCAAAACACAGGTTATGCTGTTTAAAAACTTGAGAATAAAATAGCAGCTAGGGTTCTTAAAATCCAAGCTAGATATCTCTATCCTTAGTAACACTCAGGCACAGTCAGACTGAGCTATCTTGTCTGCTACTAGCAGGCAACTGCTGTAAAAGGGATATTAAAACCTTAAACTAAACTAGAAAAAAAAAACAAAAAAAAAAAAAAAACAACCCCAAAACAGGACAGAAAAAACCATTTCTATCTATATACTAAAGAAGGCAGATGTCATTGAACAGAAACAAGTTCTGAGGCTTTAACTTTTCTGGTTCCTTCCCTAACTACCACCAAAATTGCTGACCCAAGAAAACCATGTTTCCACAGAAAACCAAGTCCTTAAAATGCCCAAGACCCACAGACCAAAGCATTCAGTGTTGTACTGTAAGAGACAAGCATCACAAGCAAAACAAAACTCAGTTTAAAACTTCGTACTGTGAATATGCTTTCATACCAAGTTTCAAAAAGAAAGACAACAACCCCACAGGGTGTAGCACATGTCACTGAACAAAAGCTACTTTCCATTCCTTGACTTACAGGTGAATTGCAGGTATCGGCTGCTGTGTCTACACTAGTAATTTTGTTTTGTCATAATTGAAGTGAATTATTGGGAAAAAACAGTTGTTGTCAACCTCTGAATTTCTACTGAGGTTTTGTACAGGGTTTATTTCAAAATTCATCACCATCCAAGAGTGGGAAGGAGCAACACATCCGAAAGCAGACATTTAACAAAACCTACTTTATGTTCTGGTTATGCTAGTGGAAAAAAGAAATCAAAATGATCTATGCGATATGCAACATAGATTTTGCTTTACAGGATAATTCTGACACCTGTGACACATACAAACCTAGCCCACTCATAATTTAGGAAAACCATATGCTTCTTGAAGCTGTGATGCTGAAGTGAATATGACTTCTCTTTTTTTCTTGATTTTTGAGAAAAGTGAAACAGTGTCTGTAGCTAAAAGCATAAAATAAATTAATAGGAAATTACTATGCTGCCTATCTAGAAAACTTTCCTGACAGGTAGATAAATGAGACCAGCAAAGCAGTATAAGACTATTTTCTGAAGATTTAAAGCTATTTTCAGAGCACTAACATACAGACTAGGAAATATTATCTTCCTGAGGGAAAGATGGTCTAGGAAAAAAGTCACCAATATACCTGTAATTATCATATGTAGATTACAGACAACAAGATTAAGCTATATATTTTATGGCTACAGCAATAATATGCAAGACAATTTTTCAAGTGATTTGTATAACATGTCAAACTACTCATTATAATAAGCATAAGAAGTCCAAGAATAATGTTCTCAAGTCTACAAAGTGACATTAAAGAAGACATGTATGCTTTCAGCACTAATCCACAATAAAATGCAAATAAACATATTCTAAGCATTCCACGTTTCATGATGAAGACGCCATAAACATTTCTTTTTCATTTCCAAACTCTCAGATGATTCTGCAGGTTCTAAATAGAGTTCAAGCACAAGAATCAGTAGCAAAACACCATTAAGGTTACCCTGATTACTTGATCAATAAAGCAAACCAACCAACAAGCGTCCTCAGAGGATGGGCACTAAGTTTTCACTGAGAAAAGAACTTCAACTTTGCAGATGGAATTCCTCTCTCTTGTCCACATCCACATGTTATTTCTCTTCATCTGTCTCTCCATTAAAAGGTCCGGAAAAGACAGAATATGCTATAAAATCAAAAGTGTTAGGTACAGAATGGATATCGCTTACTTGTTAACATAATACTTACCCTAGCAGCATATCTATTTCTCCTCCCAGGATGTCATTCACAATACAAAGTTCTCCTTATTCCTGGAAAAAGGAAATTTCTCATATGTATCATATAACAAAACCCTTTCATACTTCTCAAGATGTTCATTATAGTACACGGATTATAATTGACTAGATGACTTGAATCTGTCATTTCTCTTTCTGTACACAGTTAACTAAAACTACTAATTTTAGAGAGAATTACTACCCCAACATACTTATCCACAAAGTCAATGTTATTTTCTGTATGGTGAAGTGATAACAACCTCTTAGTGACATGATGAAAGAAGGGAATGAGCAAAAACATATCATTACACAGCTTCAGGACAACTGTTTTAGTGCACTGTAAGATGGCAGAAGCCCATCACAAATTACTCCTCAAACCTAGTAAAATTAATGAGCTACTAAAATCTGAAAGGTCATTTTTATCTCTCATCCTATGTATTATGCATCATCTGACATTAGGCAAGGGTTGTGATATTGTATTTAGTGGACTGACACTTAAAAATGTAAACGTATTTTTGTAGTTTTGGCTGGGTTTGTTGGGGTTTCTTTTCTTCTTTTAAAAAATAAGTAGAAAGACCAGAAAAAACAAACACTGTGTGAACCAATATTGTTTGCTTCAGACATGCACTTTAGCTTGGAGAAAGCTCCAGATGCTGGTGAACTCCCTTTGTCCTAAATTACATTCCAGGCTTGGCAAAGAGAAAAGCACTTGCAAAACCCTTTTCATTTCCTTTTTATGGCTATCAACTGCCAAATCTGAGAAAAACCACTAAATGAACACTACTGTTAAGAGAGCCCCAAGTTGCTATAAAACCACTCCACTGAAGAAGCTGGGGGGGGGGGAGGGGGAAGGAAGAAGGTCAAGATAAACTCCTATCATGTCCCTGCAGTTCCCCATTCCCAACACACAAACCCACAGGTACTAGGTCTCACAGGAAACTGCACAGGAACACTCTTCTCCCTCTCCCTTTGTATTCCAACTCAGAGCAGACAAGTAGAAGTTGAAGATTCATTCAGTATTAATTCCTACTGCAAACCCCAAACCTCAATAAAATAACACTTCCACATCTGTGAGTGTAGGTCTATGAAAAACCAACTTCGCCTCCCGCAGTGACACCCTTTTTAAAAGTATTAGTACAGATTCGCAAGTTGAATGGACTTTGACAGATTATGGCTTTCTATATATACATTGAATTTTCTGCTTTTAATATATATGGCAGTAAACAGCCAAAGTGGATTGCTGGCATTTTTATGCTGCTTAGTGCATAAAAAGCCAAACCAAAGAAAAATCCACGTTATTTATGTTTCTATGTCATTGCATTTTATACAGGTGGTTGATGTTTTTCTCTCTGAGCTTCTCCAACTTTCCTAGGAATAAAATTACTTGCGTCATGTAAATAGTATTAAGTTGTCCATTATGCAGAACAGAAATCAATTCTTCATCTCTGATCTCATAACACAAGTCTACTCTACTATGAAAATACATTACACTCTTCCACCGGTTTTCTGCAACCAGAAACTGAATGACATTAGAGCATCTTGCATTCTTGTGACTGCATTTGCCTGGATAATAAGACATACGAATGCACTGGCAACAAAAGAAACATTTATAGTCTATACAACACTTGTCTCAGACATGTTGCCAGCATGCAAAAAAAAGAAACTGCTAAATAATCAAGGGAACAATTTTTAAGAGCGATCCAGGTAATCTGACACTTTCATAACAATTCTGTGTAACTTTTCAGTCCTCCATTTGAACCCTTGATAAAACATAAATAGAAATACAGGTGTCTTTCCAGTCCAGGGAGGAATGAAGATAAACTAGCAGCTTTCACGCCCTGGAGGGTAAAAGAACGTAAACAACAGCCCTTTCCTAATTGCAAATGAAGACTATACACCATAAAGGGAGTGCTGTGAAAAACATGGGACCTTACTAATGTTGCAGAACAGTACCTACAAAAGGTATGGTAAATATCAGAAACTAGTAAAATAAAATTTAATTACTAATTAAACTTAAAACACTTGGAATGATCAATACTGAAAGCCTAGTAAAGACAACAGTTGGTGTCAGCCCTAGCAGGAATCCTTCCTGCTACAGGTAAGTAAAAGTGAAACCACAGCCTCTCCCATCTAATTTTATAACACCTAAGAAGACTTCTACAGGCGTGGGAAAGCACAGGTTCCACCCAACAATATGTTGTTCTTACTCTTGCCTGCACACCTCCAAAAGTAGGGAGTGTCTCTGTATCTCTTTGGGAACCCTGCTGCTCCTCACATCTACTGCTGTCCTTCTGTATGGCTGTCCAGGCATCAGAAGCTGCAGTACACCAATATCTCCCCCCCAGATAGTTGCAGTGTACTCTTATCTCCTGTGCCTGAAACCCAGTACCTCTCCTCACATCCTAAATTTATCCATCTACCTTTATGATCTTGAAAATTAGCAATAAATGTGCTATCCAAAATCACAAACTAAGCCTTATACAGTCACAGGTGATGTACCAGCCGTCACAGAGCTCCAAAGGAGAAGCACATGCAGCAACAGTTTGAAGAGCATGAGATGGTCTGTCTGTATGCACAGGCCTTCACCATTAGTCAGCTGTAACCATAGTATGCTTAGAAGTAAGACTTCCAACTTTGTTCCTGAGGACATGGGGTTTGACACTGAATTACAATTTTACAGTATGTTTTCCAACCTCTCAATTAAAAGGGGAAATAGGCTGAGAATTAGGAAGCGTATGTCAAATCATTTTTTTGTTATGATGTATCAGTTACATAAGTACTTCAGTACATGCTAAACTATTACACTGCTTACCAGTTATCCCTCTGCTGGAACAAAACTTACAGGATTTCTACTGTCACGACATATTGCCATCTCTATACTTTGTTTTATCTTCAAGTTCATCTCTCCCTACAGACACCATTTTACTTGTATCATAATTCATGCCATGGCCACTTCAGTAATAAAGCATTTCAATACTGTTTGAGAATACATCATCTCTCCACTCATATATTCTGATATTCTTGCTGTTTTCAAGCATACTTGAACTATGAAGGACATTAACCTCCTGTGTTGAGAGTCAGACAATGTCTCAGGAGGCCCTTCATTGACTTTATGGGAGAATTTGCATACAATCACACCTCTGAACTGAATAACTAACTAAAAATAAATTATGTTATTAGTAAGCCAGCACTAAACCAAACATATAGGACTAATGAGAAATTAATGAAGAATGGTAGAAAACCTCTCTTCAGGAGCAAGTGTACCAGAAGTGCATCCGCCTGCAATTATACATAGCACAACAATCAGCCTAAATGGAAAGAACCAGTCCCCAAAGATGCTAACACCTGAAAATTTAAACCTGTTAGATTCAACATGCACAGATGGGGTTGCGGCAACGCCTCTCTATCCTCTAAGTCAGCAAGACTGGGAGCCCAAGATGCATGGTTTTCTGTGACAAGGGTAAAAACACAGAGTTCTCCCTGTGACAGCATTATCAGTCTACCACCTCAACCATCAATATGATCAATGCAAAAAAAACACATTACTGTGATGGATGACTACTACGATAGCAAACCTACCACCAGAAGCAGTCAATGGGCTCTATGGACCCATGAGGGCTGTAGCTTCTGCTATTAAAATACAGTGCTATAGCAGCTGCCTCATCTCACATCCCTCAGAGTACTACAGTGGGTTTTAAGTATCAATTTAACAAAGGATGGTAACAAAAGAGATTAATCTTGCAATGCTAGCAACCATTTAAACAACAGATTCTCTCACGAAGGACTGTTTCAGATATATCTGAAGTACTATCTTAACGTTGCTGTAGAAAGAGATGCAATCATTTAAGAATTCAACCTGAGAAGACTAGTGTAAGTATTTCAAAATAAAGACTACATGGAAGCAGACCTGAACAGAATCAGCTTACAAGTGGGGTGACTGAGTTTTGTTGCCTCAGACACCAGAACCAAGCATGTCCATTCACAGTCACTGAATCATTAACATTTATTTAGTTGCCAGAACCTATAATAAATGCTTGGAACAACGTAGAGATATCCCAACCACTCCAGCCAATAAGCCGGCTTCAGTTGGAGCTCGGCTCAGATGCCTCTATACAAATGCCCGTAGCATGGGGAACAAACAAGAGGAATTAGAGATGTGTGCACGTCTATGGGGGTATGATATAATAGGTATCACAGAAACATGGTGGGATGGCTCCTATGACTGGAGTGTTGGAACGGAAGGTTACAGGCTCTTTAGAAAAGACAGGCCTGGCAGACAGGGAGGAGAGTTGCTATTTATGTTAGGGATAGGCTGGAGAATATGGAACTCTGTCTGGGGACAGGTGAGCAGTTAACAGAGAGTTTGTGGGTCAGGGTTAAAGGGAGAAAAGCGATGGGAGACATTACTGTGGGGATCTGTTACAGACGGCCTGATCAAGGAGAACCTGCGGATGAAGCACTCCATAGACAGATAGGAAAAGCCTCACACTCACAGGTCCTTGTTCTCATGGGTGACTTCAACCACCCTGACATCTGTTGGAAGGACGGTACGGCCCGGCACAAGCAATCCTGGAGGTTCCTCAATTGTGTGGAAGACAACTTCCTTCTGCAAGTAACAGAGGAGCCGACAAGGAGAGGTGCCATGTTTGACCTCATGCTCACCAAAAGGGAAGGGCTCGTTGAAAATGTGACACTCCAGGGCAGTCTTGGATGCAGCGATCACAAGATGCTCGAATTTGAGATCCTCAGGACAGTGAGAAGAGTGTGCAGCAAGCTCACTGCCCTGGACTTCAAATGAGCAGGCTTTGGCCTCTTCAGGAACCCGCTCAGTAAGCTTCCATGGGATACAGCCCTAGAGGGCAGGGGGGCCCAAGACTGTTGGTTGATATTCAAGGATCACCTGCTACAAGCTCAGGAGTGTTGCATCCCAACTAGAAGGAAGTGCAGCAGGAGGGCCAGGAGACCTCCTTGGATGGATAACCAGCTCCTCAGGAAAATTCAAATGAAAAAAGAGTCTTATAATAAGTGGAAGCAAG